GTAGGCCAGAGGCGTGGGCCGGCCTGGCTGGGCCATGGCCCAGTTGGGCCAAGGGGTCCAGTGGGGGAAGGGGGGGTATTTGTCTCCCCCCCCCATTTTATTTATTTTTGGATTTTGTTTTTATTTCTTTTCTTTTAGTTAGTTTTCTTTTATGTTTTGCCTTTGTTTCCTATTGTTTTTTTTAATATATACTTGGCATCTAATTTAGTAATTCAATTTAGGCCATTGGCACAAAAAAGTCTAGTCCTCAAATAATTTAGTTTGACATTTTATTAATTACAAAAGGTATTTAAATAACTATTTATGCTGCTGTTTTATTCATCTAATAGTATTTAAACATTTTATAAAAGTGGGGTTTCTTCACCACAATCACCTTTGCATTATTTAGCACGACTCGAACATTTTAGTTTTAAAGTTTGAAAACTTTTATAATTTAACTTTATTTTAATGTTTGAATTTGACTCGGTTTTGGACTAACGGTAGATTATCAATAGTAACCGGGGTGACGTGGCATGATTATCGTTGGATTACTGTAGCTTAATTACCCGGGCGTCACATACACGAAGACAGTTGCAAAACAGAAATGGAGTAGGCATCTTGATTAACAAGAGCCTCGAGTATGGAGTGGTAGACGTCAAGAGGCATGGGGACCAGATTATTCTGGTCAAGCGAGGACTTAGTTCTCAGCGCATATGCCCCGCAAGTAGGCCACGGTGAGAAAACTAAGAGGGAGTTCTAGGAAGGCCTGAAGGACATGATTAGGAGTGTACCTGTAGGCGAGAAGTTCTTCATAGGAGAATTCATGATTAGGAGTGTACCTGTTGGCGAGAAGTTCTTCATAGGAAAAAACCTCAATGGCCATGTGGGTACATCTAACACATACTTTGAAAGGGGTGTATGGAGGCTTTGGCTAGGGCATCACGAATTAAGAAGGAGAAGATATCCTAAGCTTTGCTCTAACCTATGAAATGATCGTAGCTAACACCCTCTTAAAAAGAGTGAATCACATCTAGTGACTTTTAGTAGTGGTCAACACTCTAGCCAGACTAATTTCATCCTCTCAAGAAGAGAAGACAAACGTGCTTTCCTAGATTGTAAGGTGATACCCGGAGAGAGTGTTGTCCTTCAGCATAGCTTGTGATGGCTGATGATCGCTTTCGGATTCATTTCCGGTGGGATAAGCATACCAAAATAGCTAGAACATAGCGGTGGAAGTTTAAGGGGGAGACAACTTAGGCTTTGAATAAGAGGGTCATTAAGGAGGGCCCTTGGAAGGAAGGAGGTGATGCAGACAATATGCGGTTGAAGATGACGACTTGCATTAAGTGGTTTCAGAGGAGTTTGGAGTGCACGGGGGAAGTAGAAGCAAAGCTAAAGATACTTGATGGTGAAACGATGATGTCCAAAAGGCTACTAATGAGAAGAATAATTGTTTTAGTTGCACCTGAATAGGAGTGCAGACAATATAGAGAAGTACAAGGTGGCAAAGAAGGCCGCAAAGCGAGATATGAGTGGAGCAAGGGGTCGGGTGTATGAGGACCTCTACCAACTCTTAGACACCAGGGAAGACAAAAAGGACGTCTATAAGATAAGCCAAGATCCGAGAGAGAAAGATGGGGGATTTTGACCAAGTCAAATGCATCAAGGACGAAGCAGATGAACTCCCGGTGACCGACCATGAGATTAAGCATAGATAGCAAGAGTACTTTGACAAGCTATTCAATGTAGAGAATGAGAGCTCTACCATTGAATTGTACGACTCTTTGATGATACCAGAAGGCATTTTTTGCGGCGAATCTAGGAGTTTGAGGTCAGGAAGCCTTTAAAAAGGATGAAAGGAGGCAATGCGATGGGCCCTCGAAGACATAGTGATATTATGGCTAACTAAGCTTTTCAACCTCATGTTTGGAAAATAAGATGCCTACCAATGTTCAAGAACAAAGGGGGTGTTCAAAGTTGTATTAATTACCATGAAATTAAGCTGACGAGCCATATAATGAAGCTATGGGAGAGAGTCATTGAGCACCGCTTAAGAAGAATAACAAGTGTGGCCAAAAATCAGTTTGGTTTCATGCCTGAGAGGTCAACCATGGAAGCCATTTTCCTGGTTCGATAACTTATGAAGAGATATAGGGAGCAAAAGAAGGACATGTATATGGTGTTCATTGACTTGGAGAAGACCTATGATAAGATACTACGGAATGTCATGTGGTCAGCGGCGGAGCCAAGAAATTAAGATTAGGGGGTCAAATGATTCAAATTTCTGATTACAGGGGCCAAACTACACTGATGCATGTATTTGTTCCTAATTTCTACACTGTTCATCTTCAAACTAATAGCAAATTAGGGATGTTAGGGGGGGCCAGGGCCCCTACTGGTCCCCCTGTCTCTGCCACTGCATGTGGTGGGCCTTGGAGAAACACAAAGTCCCAACATAGTTTGTTATCCTCATCAACATGTAAAATAATGTTGTGACAAATGTTCGAACAAGGACACTGATGACTTTCCGATTAAAATAGGACTATACCAAAGGGTAGCTTTATGCCCTTATCATTTTGCATTGGTGATGGATGAAGTCACAAGGGATATACAAGGAGATATACCATGGTGTATGCTCTTTGTGGATGATGTGATGCTAGTCGATGATATCGGACGAGGGTTAACAAGAAGTTAGAGCTATGGAGACAAACCTTAAAATTGAAAGGTTTAAGACTTAGTAGAACTAATACCAAGTACATGTGGTGCAGTTTTAGTACTACGAGGCACGAGGCGGAGGTTAGTTTTGATGGCAGGTGATACTTTAGAAGGACACATTTGGATATTTGGGATCAACGTCGCAGAAGGATGTTGTTATCGATGAGGATGTGAGCCATCAAATCAAAGCCACATGGATGAAGTGGCGCTAAGCTTCTGCCGTTCTCTGTGACAGAGAGTGCCATAAAAGGTAAAAGGCAGGTTTTATAAAATGATGTGATAAAAGAGTGTCACAAAAGGTAAAAAAACAGATTTTATAGGACGGCAGTCGACCCACAATGTTGTACGTCATCGAGTGTTGGCCGACTAAAAGACGGCACGCTCAACAGTTAGTTGCAGCGGAAATGCGCATATTGAGATGGTATCCGTGACCACACAAAGGAGTGATTGGATCCAGAATGATAATGTGCGAGATAGAGTTGGGATAGCACCGACTAAAAAGAAGCTTGTCAAACATTGTATGAGATGGCTTGGGTATATTCAGCACAGACCTTCAGAAACTTCAGTGCATAGAGGATAGATAAAGCGTGCTAATGATGTCAAAAGGGGTCGGAGTAGACCAAAGTTAACATGAGAGGAGTCCATAAAAGGAGATATGAAGGACTAGAATATCACCAAAGAACTAGTCATGGATAGACTGGTTATCCATGTACCCCAACCATGAGTTATTTGCGAGATTTTATGTGTTTCAGCTCAAGCCTGCCTCAACTTGTTTGGAACTAAAGACTTTGTTATTGTTATTGTTGTTGTTTGGTACTTTTTTTATATCACCTGAACATATTTACATCATAGTAACATAATTTTAAAATGTCATGAATATATTTTTGGACCGTGTGAAGATTTTCTTAAACATTTTCTTAAAGCCACACACTTTTTAGAATAGTGCGAAACATCTTTTTAACTTGCACGTACATTTTTTCACATTATATAACTTTTAAAGTGTCATGATTTTTTTAAAAACACGGTAACATTTTTATAAATGTCATAAACGTCTTTTTTAATGGCACGGACATTTTTCAAAATTGCAGGAACAAAAAATTCACGCCGTTTTAACATTTTCCGAATGCACTGCAAATGTTAATTTTAAATAAATTAATTGGAAGTATATGTATTTAGAATATTTGAAATATAAAAAAGAAAATAAAAAAGGAAGCAAATAGTGTGTGTGCCTACATGCCTACGTATGTGTCCATTTGTGGGTGAGCCATATAGATTTTTGTTTCAGGGATGGGTGAGCCAGATAGATAAGCACTGTAACGTGAGCTGCCGCTGTATTGAGCCAGCCCATATCCGTGCGTTGCGACCGAAGCATGCATACAGCTCGTAACAGACGAACTATAGCAGCGCCCAACAATTTCCCTTACACAGTCAGTCAGAGTGTAGCGTACTATACTATTTGGAGCCCAAATCTGCCTAGGGTGGGCCATATACAAAGCCTGGGCCAGGCCATATACAAATTAATCTGTAACTGGACTGACCCGTGAACATACAAATTAATCTTTGTCATAGGAGTTACTTTGTAATTTCTTTGATTTTAAATCCAAATCAATGTACCTGTAACAATTATAAATATGATAAAATTATAGGTTTTCTAAAATTCATGATGAGATACGTTTTGATGTGGTCTACACAAAAAAAAAATCATGTGCTCCCTCCGTAAAGAAATATAAGAGCGTTTAGAGAGTACTTTTATGATGAATAGTACATCTGTTAGAAATCCATGATCTCTTTTTGTGGTTCGCAAAAATGGTATTTCACCGAGAAATTTTACAAACAAGTAGTATACATCCATATCTATGTATTCTTTAAAAAAATTGAAACTTAGAAGTTTTCTGAATAATTTAAAATCTGGGCTTCATGCCCGGGAGCTGAAAGCAATTTCCGCTTTGAGGTGCCGTGCTTTGATGACATATATATATGGCCCACCGCACTGGAATACCCATTTTTACCGCATTGTGTAGAAGGGACTTGAACCCGTGTAAAAAGAAATAAATACCTTTGCATCCAGGAGCAGTATTTGGTCAAGAGTGTGCTTGCAAGGTTGCACCTGTATGCTCTGCTGATCAGATGTGTGCTCCAGAGCTGTCAATCATCTTAGTTCATGGCTCATGTGATTACTATCACGTCAGCATATCAATGTGTAAAAGGATCATGGGCCAGTTCTTTTGCAAGATTCTCCCAGAATCAGACCCCTCCCCAGCTTACACCGAACAGTCATGCTGTCTAATAGGTAATAGCCTGCAGCCATGGGAAATCCTCCGTCACCACACAGCTGCTTCAGCGTAATTCTGCTTTACATGACCGTAACCTGCTCGGAAATGAATGAAAACCACTGTGAGTTTCTCAAAAGGAAAAATTATAAAGACGGGAAATTTATCTTTAATATCTATATATTTTTAGATCATCAGGGAGTAGCCTGCTGGGTCTCATATTGTTGGAATGAAACCAGCCACAGCAGGTTCAACAGAATCTTGGCCTTCAAGCCAAAAGTTTAGACACAAAAGCAAAGAGCAGAAATGGAAGTACATTACGAAACAAGAGCCATAACAAGCTTTTTTCATCATTCTGACTGCTGCATCTGGACGTCCAGTCTTCGCATATGATTTAATCTCAAATTCCGATGCAAAATAAAGCGTAAGAAAGTACAAACTATATATGCCAACTCACGAATTCGCTAAGTGCGTCACTAGATGCCATCAAGAAGCCTGTTTCAGCACAAAATGAGATCAAACGATTGACAAAAGAATTGGCGCTAGTACCAAATGATCTCCAGTTGTCCACGAATTTGGTTGAGATGATAACCAGGTTAGCTGCACTATTTCTGTAGGCCTGTTAGGGATGGCAGGAAGAAGCAAGGAAATGAGGGCACCGCGTCACAACCAAGACCTTCCTAACAGAATTGGTGCTGGAAATCAATTTGGCCGGGCCACAAGGTACAACAGCCGTATTGAATTGTCCACCAAGCTGCTTGAACCAACCAAGACCTTCCTAACCAAATTAATGCGTAACAAAGGAAGCTGCTTCTTAACTCTCTAGGCCCTACAATGCTCCCCCGCCCTCATGTCTTTCAGCTACCGCACGGATCAGTACTCAGTACCACGGCCATGGACATGTTGTAAGCTTCGGAAGGTCGCACGAAACATCCCAAGGAACCCACTTGATGGTGGCTCTCCAGCTGACGCTGTCCTAAATGTCCCCTCCGTGTTGACGAAAGCTCAAACTTGAGTAATTGTCTGAATAATGCTTCTGCCCAACATGGCACCACTGCCTATCGTACTACGTACGTCGCAAATCATCTAACCACTTTGGCCTCCACAAGGACCCCGATGCACTAACTGCATGTCGACCCACCGATATCCAGTTCAAATCATTGCCTCTGTTATAGCCAACATCGCATGACCACATTTATGATGGCCTTGCTGCTTTGCTAACTGGTGTCAAAACAAAATCACACGGAACTGTTGGCACAATTCTATATTACACACTGCACCGTTCTAGAAAATGTGATGATAGCTGAATCATCTTGAGCCAATCACATAGCACCTGAAACAAAAAGGGGCAGGAGGAAAATCAGCAAAAGCAACATAAAAGGCTTCTGTAAAATTTCTCAAAATCATAATATGGGAGAACGGTAGACCTCAGTTTTGGATTCTCCTTGAGCCAGGTGGAATACAAAATTAACGGACAAACAAAAGCTGCATAATAACGCACGGAAGGGGCAGCAAGTTGGTAAATATTTTTATTATCCAAGATATGTTGCTTCAAGCACAATTCTCAGTAAACAAGATAGTGTCTCGTACAGCTATCTTTACAGCTCAACCCACTGTGGTTCTCAGTCACGTACCAAGCTATCAAAGATGGCTCCACCATGTGTGTGTTAGCAACCCAGGCCCAGCTCCCGGTCCATCGGCATATGCTCGGACGTTTTCGGTGCGCATCGGACACTCCACTATAAGCAGAAAGCCCACAACATCCCAAAAGACCGGCCTGAAGGGAGTGTGGCACTCTCCCTTATAAGGAGCTCCTAGCCTCCTCCCATATCCGAGGTGGGACTAAAGTCACTGGCGTTGCCCAAGGTCAGGTTCCTGACACCCCACCCCCCTAGGGAAGCCCCCCTTAGGGTGGCATGGGGCCCAGCTCTGATACCACTTGTTAGCAACCCAGGCCCAACTCCCGGTCCATCGGCATATGCTCGGACGTTTCCGGTGCGCATCGGACACTCCACTATAAGCAGAAAGCCCACAACATCCCAAAAGACGGCCTGAAGGGAGTGTGGCACTCTCCCTTATAAGGAGCTCCTAGCCTCCTCCCATATCCGAGGTGGGACTAAAGTCACTGGCGTTGCCCAAGGTCAGGTTCCTGACAGTGTGAGAGGCAGTGGTCCTATGCATTCAGTCCTTCAAAGTTGCAACCACGTACAAATAGGAACATCCCACCAAGGGAGTTCATGGTCTTGTCCCCTGACGATTTGCTATCTGTGATAGTTGTGGAAACGAAGATGCAGATTTCCCACCAGACCTGCCCACTATAAATATATGATCATGGAACAAACCATCAACACACACACACAGACCGACTTTTTTCTCTGATTATTCCATCTCAGAGTCACAGCCCATCTCCTTGAAACAAAACAAGCAACCATGATCAGCTCCAGGAAGCTAGCTCAACTTTCCAAGAAGTGGCAGGGCATTGGCGCCATTGGGCGAAGAAGGTTCGCAACATCAGACAAGGATATCCACCCGTCATGCAGCTCAGTTGCAGGCAAGGGCCACTTCGTTGTCTACTCTTCCGACGGGAGGCGGTTCGAGATCCCCCTGGTGTGCCTCCGCACAACGGTCTTCGAGGAGCTCCTGAGGATGTCTCAGGAGGAGTTTGGGTTCACAAGCGATGGGGGGATCACGCTGCCTTGTGATACAACAATGGTGGAGTATGTGATGTGTTTGCTAAGGAGAGAGGCCTCCCAAGATGTTGAGAGGGCACTCCTCAGCTCCATAGTGACGACTTGCCACCGCCCAAGCAGAGTGATGCAACCACCCAGCGGACTTAACCAGCAATTCATTGTGCACAGCTCCTGAAAAACGAAGATCTGGCAGCTTCTTTCTTTTTTCACCTTCCATCTTTTTTTTCCCGGACGTACTTTTGGAGCACACTTCTGTGCAGATTTTTTCCAATTGTCCCGTGGATGTACAGATGGATGCATGTAAGAATAATCACATTGTGATTTCGAATACAAGGATCAAGCTTACCACATTGAAACAATATCTACTACTTTTTTTTCTCATTCTCAAATGCATCTAAATCCATGTCATTTTGTACTACAAGATAACACCAAGAAGACACACGTTTTAGAGTCTATACAGTGAAGGCGAAACAAACGAAAAGAAACTATATTGTTACTACTAGGTTGTAATAACATTATACCATGGGAAGGAGGGAGCACTGTTTTAGAGTCTACAATATTCTTTTATGTATGGATGCCATCAGAGAAGTGAGTTCCAATACCAAATGATGTATGAAATTGTAAGCAAGTTGCTTGAATCAAGAAAGACCTTCCTAACTGGATTAACGTCGGCAAAATCTGTACCAAACCAGCAGATCCAATTCTTTATACACAATTAACAAAAGGTGCTGCTTCTGTAAACCTCCTACAAAATCTGGAGCCTACATGCTGCAGTACTGATATTTGCTAGTATACCACTGAGAAGCTCATGAAGTGACTGACCTTCATAAGTTTCAAATAAGAAAAATGAGCTTCATCATCCAAGGAAGCCCCTGCGGAACATCCTAAGTAACCTAATTCTGCAGTATGTACGTATCCAACCATCTAACCACCACATCTCAGCTAGGACCTCTGCAAGGACCACGAGTGCATGCGCCAACTGCAAATTGGCCCAGTACTATCCAATTTAAATCACATTGCCTCCATTGTAGCCAACAATGCATGGATAGACTCATGGCCTTGTTTGCTCACCAACTACTGTCAGTGATTACTACGCGTAAGTCATGGACCATTTGCTCACCTACCAGATATACATCAGATTCACAACCAAGGAATATCCTCATTTCATCCATAGAATAGCATTCCGAATACAAAAAGCCTAGATCTGATAATACGATGTGTTTATCTTCAGTCCGTTCCCTCCTAAACCATAACAAGAACACATTGTTTTAGCTTCTCAACAGAAAAATGCTTAAGCACAACAAACCACATCAATGACAAATTACTTGGCAAGGTTTAAACTTATGTTCGGATCTTAACCGTTGATCCTTCATGAAGAGTATCACCTGAAGCCATGTGACCAGTAAACCCTATAGTGGTATGGTAATAAGCACAGGATTGGGGTGCATGCATACAGAGCCATTGGGAAGTTTGACAAAATCCTGTGGAATTTAAACACCCTAGACTAGTGGTAGAAACATAGCTGTATTTATGTATGTAAGTAATTGGTGTTTTTTAAGTCTTAACCTAAATAGCAGTAGTACTGCTTGGCCAACCCCCAAGGTTCCTAACTCCAAGCCTATAGTAGAATCTAAGCGGAAATACGAGTTTTTGTATCAGCTGAAGCCTGAATTAAAAAGTTTAAATAGGAACATGGAACCTCTAGTTTGCTCAGATCATTGCATTACATTTACATGATCCACCTTTCTAGAAGATGTGGTGATAGTTAAGTCATCTTGAGTCAATCACATGACACTTGTGACACTTGCAGCGAAAGGGAGATGAGGAAAATCAGTGCATGAAGCAGAGTTACTTCTCTAAGATTTCCTGAAATCGTAAGATGGCGGAATGATGCAATGCACCTCATGTTAAGATAACACTGAACATGCGCAATACAAAATTAATCAGGCACGCAAAAACTGCATAATAGCATTGTCATGTGGGGCACGTCTTACAGACGTGGGCCGCGCGGCCAGGAGCAGCCGACGGCCGCATCAGGCAAGGCGCAGGCTGGACAGGAGTCCTGATCCGGGCACATTAGTTCCTAGACTAGTTTATTTCGTATAGGTTTCTAGTTTGTTATTAGCCCATGGGGCCTTTATATATCAGATAGTTAGCACCCTTTAGGGATAAGCAATAAAGTTATTTCCTTCTATCTTCCCCTCCCACATCATAGAGCAGCCAGGCAAAAACCCTAGCGCTCCTATCCACCGCGACTACGAACTACGTAGTCGAGGTCCTGCTGTCTTGGGCACCGAGGCCCTTGACAACTTTCTGCTTGACCAGCGTTTGGCCACCATCCCGCAGCATCATTGGGTTGGCAAACTCCTGGGATTCGACTTTACGGTGGAGTACAAGGCAGGTAGTACCAACACGGTGGCGGATGCACTTTCCCGCCGTGACACGGAGGAGACGACGATCATGGCGGTCTCAGGGCCTCGTTTCGACTTCATCAATCGCCTCCGGCAAGCGACGTCCACTGATCCGGCGCTCGTCGCACTGCGGGAGGATATCACGGCAGGTGCGCGGCAACAGCCTTGGGCGCTCTCCGACGGCCTCGTTACTTTCAACGGCCGCCTCTACATTCCGCCGTCATCCCCGCTACTCCAGGAGATTCTCAGTGCCGTGCACGATGATGGGCATGAAGGCGTCCTGCGCACATTGCATCGTCTTCGCCGCGATTTCCACGCACCTAATCTTCGCAAGACGGTGCAGGAGTACATCCGCACTTGCGGTACTTGCCAGCGGTACAAGTCCGAGCACTTGCACCCCGCTGGGCTGCTCCTGCCGCTGCCGGTACCCACGGGCGTGTGGACTGACATCGGCATCGACTTCGTGGAAGCGCTTCCTCGAGTAGGCGGGAAGTCTGTCATCCTCACCGTGGTGGATCGCTTCAGCAAGTATTGCCATTTTGTGGCGTTAGCCCACCCATACACGGCAGAGTCAGTGGCACAGGTGTTCTTCGCTGAGGTTGTTCGTCTCCACGGCGTGCCACAGTCCATGGTCTCTGACCGCGACCCCGTCTTCACCTCCGCTTTTTGGCAAGAGCTCATGCGCCTCACGGGGACAAAGCTGCACATGACGTCCGCATTTCACCCGCAGTCGGATGGTCAAACGGAGGCTGCTAACAAGATCATTGTGATGTATTTACGGTGTCTTACCGGGGATCGTCCCAAGCAGTGGCTCCGGTGGCTTCCCTGGGCTGAGTACATATACAACACCGCCTACCAGACAGCAACCCAAGAGACTCCGTTCAAGCTTGTGTATGGCCGTGACCCTCCCACTATTCGCTCTTACGAGCCCGGCGACACACGGGTGGCTGCAGTGGCCAGGAGCATGGCTGAGCGCGACGAACTTATCGAGGACGTCCGCTATCGTCTACAACAGGCCCAGGCGGTCTATAAGTCCTACTACGACAGACGTCATCGGGACATTCGGCATGAGGTGGGCGATTGGGTTTGGCTTCGCCTTCGACAGCGCGCCACGTCCTCTCTCCACTTGCCAACCAGGGGCAAGCTCAAGCCACGATTCTATGGGCCGTACCGCATTTCAGAAGTGATCAACGACGTGGCATACCGTCTTGAGCTTCCGGCACGCTCGCGCCTCCATGACGTGTTCCACGTGGGCCTCCTCAAGAAGTTCTTCGGCATTCCTCCAACTACACCGCCGGGATTGCCTTCGATCCACAACGGGGCGGCTGTTCCAGAACCAGAGCGCGTGACTCGTGCGCGCCTAGCACGCGGCGTTCGCCAGCTACTCGTCCACTGGAAGGGTGAAGCAGCTTCGTCAGCTACATGGGAGGATCTTGACAGTTTCGTCGAGCGCTACCCCGCTTTTCAGCTCGAGGACGAGCTGCTCGTCGAGGGGGGGAGAGATGTCATGTGGGGCACGTCTTACAGACGTGGGCCGCGCGGCCAGGAGCAGCCGACGGCCGCATCAGGCAAGGCGCAGGCTGGACAGGAGTCCTGATCCGGGCACATTAGTTCCTAGACTAGTTTATTTCGTATAGGTTTCTAGTTTGTTATTAGCCCATGGGGCCTTTATATATCAGATAGTTAGCACCCTTTAGGGATAAGCAATAAAGTTATTTCCTTCTATCTTCCCCTCCCGCATCATAGAGCAGCCAGGCAAAAACCCTAGCGCTCCTATCCACCGCGACTACGAACTACGTAGTCGAGGTCCTGCTGTCTTGGGCACCGAGGCCCTTGACAAGCATATAAAAGGGCCAATATGTCAGTAAATATATTCATTATCTCAAATCAAGCTAGTTAAAGGGCTGTACCCAAAACTTTGTACCGCCGTGTGCGCATGTTAAAGCTCAACCAGCTGTGATGATGAATTATGCACTTAGCCAGCAAAGATGGCTCCACCATGTGAGAAAAAATGGTCCTGGGCAACAAATCTTGCAAGTTGCAACCACAGATAGCAACATCACACCAAGGGAGTTCATGGCGTTGTCTATGGAACACTTGGTCTTTGTGATAGTTGTACAAGATTCAGACCCTACCATGACACACGCGCCCTATAAATACATGATCACGGCACAAACCATCGCCACACACAAGCTGACCTTTTTTCTCTGATCATTTCTTCTCAGAGACACATTCCATCTTCAAAATCAAAACAAGTGGCCATGATGAGCTCCAAGAAACTAGCTCAACTTTCCAAGAAGTGGCAAGGAATCAGTGCCATCGGGCGAAGAAGGGTCACAACAACGGACAAGGATGTGCACCCGTCCTGCAGCTCAGTTGCAGGCAAGGGCCACTTCGTTGTCTACTCCTCCGACGGGAGGCGCTTCGAGATCCCCATAGCGTGCCTCCGCACGATGATCTTCGAGGAGCTCCTGAGGATGTCGCAGGAAGAGTTTGGGTTCACAAGTGAGGGGAGGATCACACTGCCTTGTGATACGACAATGATGGAGTATGTAATGTGTTTGCTCAGGAGAGAGGCTTCTGAAGATGTTGAGAGGGCGCTTCTCAGCTCCATAATAACGACTTGCCACCACCCAAGCAGAATGATGCAAGCAGCCACTGGACTTCACCAGCAATTTTCTGTGCGCAGCTCCTGAAGAGTGAACATCTCCAGATTCTTCTTTCTGTTTTCATGTTCCATCTTTTTCCCCGGTTGTACTTTTGGAGCACACCTTTTGTGCAACGTTTTTCCAAGGGTGCCGTACTGTGGATGTACAGATGGATGCATGTAAAAATAATCACATTGTGTTTAGAAGAAGAAAGAATCAAGTTTAGCCAATTGAAACAATATCTAGTGCTACTACTGCTAGTTCAGTTTCTGCACTGTATTAGAGAGGTCACCACAGAAGCCAACTAGGAATGAAGCCAAGTAGGAATCACATGAACAAAACTAAGAAATGGATTGCATGTGAGATGCTGGAAAATATCAAAATAATCAGACCACAAGGTGCAATGGCCATATGAAATTGTTGAGCAAGTTGCCTGAACAACCAACAACCTTCCTAACCGGATTAATGTCTTTTTTTTTAAGTAATATACCCAACTAGCAGACCCAATCCTCTATACACCATTAACAAATGATGTGCTTCGGTAGGCCTCATATGACTCTGGAGCCTACATGTTGTAGTAATATCTCTTAGCCACTACACAACTCAATACTCGGTATTTCTATTTGCTAGTACTACTGCGAAGCCCATGAAGTGAGCTTCATACTCTTCAAAAGAGAAGTGAGGCCTATCAGCTAAGGAAGGCCTCATCAAACATCCTAAGTTACCCACTTGTGCAGTGCGTATCCAATCATCTAACCACTTATTCACAGCTATGGCCTCTGCCAGGACCACAAATGTATGTAGCAACCGCATTAATCCAGTTCAAATCACATTGCCTCCATTATAGCGAACACTGCATGAGCAGACTCATGGTCTTCTTACCTGCCAGTTGCCAACTAGTGTCATTGATGACACACGGGAGTCATGGACCATTTGTTCACCTACTAGCTATACAATTGATTCAGAAGCCCTGATAAATGTCCTCACCTCATCCATAAAAATATGATTGCAAATACTGAAGCCTGGACCTGATAACACAATGCATTCCCTCCTAATAGGGCTTAAGAACAATAAGGCACACCAATAACACATTGCTTCGAATGGTTTAAACATAACTTCAGAGGTCATCGGTTCTTGCTATCCTATGTAAGACCTGGGACGCCCGTAATGCCATGGTTTTCCATCATGTAAACCACGGTCAGGAACATCCTCGACAACTTCACCAACTGGTCTCATCGGTTCACCAAGGCCGGTCATAAGGATGACACTAATGCTTGGCGCCTATGCCTTTCTTCACATTTAGACCTGCTTGTGCCAAACTCTGTCCTGGCAACTTTGAGTAATATATTCAGGTGGTGGAGCCCCCTCTCGAAACAGGCTTTCGCCCCGCTTTATATATAAAGCAACACCCGAAGAAGTAAACGACTGAACGATACAAGATGGTGAGGTAGCCGTCTTACAAAGCCAATCCTGAGATAACTGGTAGACACAGAACGCACGTGACTATGCTACCAACAAAGAGCACTGAGAGAACTAAACACACCCCACGCTACGACCTAGCACACCTAAGCTCCACGACAACGCCCCCAATAGGGAGAACGGCACAGAGCGTCGCCGCTGCCGAGTCCACACGGACAAAGATCTTCACCTGGAGCCATGACACAAAGAGAACCACAACGACGTCTTCAAGAAGAGCGCGGTACCCACGGGTGACGCCATCGTCGGCGCCAAGGCATGAAGCTTTCGCTCGGCAACTCACCCGTGCCACCACGAGGCCGCCATGAGGAACGCGACGATGTCAGGTCCCCAAATCCGGATCAGGATGCCGCCCCTCCGAGAGAGAGGGCACGTCCGAGCTACCAGTCGCAACACCTCCCGTTGCCCACACAACCCGGGAGGAGAGCCACCACCACCGCAATTGCCCGCCGAAGAGCAACCATGTGAACCGCCTCGGCATCCCTTTCGCAAGACAGCGTGCGCCGCTCACATCACAACGCACTCAACCACGATAGGAAGAGTGACGACACACCATCTACTCCTAGCCCGACATCAGTCCCCGAGTCTGGGTCGGCGCCTCCATCGTAGGAGGCACTAACACCTGTGTCACTAGCCAATCCCGGTGAACTGGGAGGGACACGACTCACGAGACTGCCGACGGCCGCTGGCGAGCCAGCCCCAACCCTTGGCCAGGCGAGCTCACTCGACGTCGTGTCCGTGGTCACCGGCGCCGATCCCCGCACCGACGCAACGCTAACACGACCACCACCATCGAGCACCATACCTGCAAGCACATCCCGGGCCAAGCCAAACCTCTCCTACCTGAAGCACTTGCTCTGATCCGCCCCGGGCCCTGACCTAGCCCGCCCGAGCACGAACCATAGATCCGAACCTTTCCCCGTTATGCGCGCGGCTGGCACCTCCAGCGGCCCGCCCGGCCCCGCGCACCGTCGGTCCAAACCCAGGAGAACGAGGCAGTCACCATCACCCCGCACCCCGCCGTCACACGCCAACCGTCGTGCCGCAACCACGCCGATGACTGGTGCAAACCACCACAAGCTCCCACCCCACGCCGACCAGCTCGAAGTACGGAAGAACCCCAGCCGGTGCCAGCACCCGTCACCGGAGGGGAGTCCCACCCAAGGGCCGCCACCACGACCGGAGGGGAGCCCCGCGACCCCAAAGGAGCCGGGGGCCAGATCTGGACAAACCAGATCAAGCCACCACGGCCACCCTAGAGGCGCTCTGTGCAGCCCTCCACGCCACATCCAGACGCAGTTGTGGGAATGGAACACGCACGAGCCCTCGCTGCCGCCCTTCGTCGTGCGGCCGCACCCCGCCGCCCAGCACGCCGCCACCAGCCAGAGGACGCCCGCCCGCGCCAGCCTCCGCCAGCCGAGGGGAGAGGACGCCCCGCCGCCACCTACCGGGCTTTGCCCGGCAGCGCGACTCGGCAACGGCGAGGGAAGGAGGTGGGAGGAGAGGTAGAGACCGGCGACACTGGGGTGGCCCTCCCGGCCGCCTGCGGGAGCAACGCGGGACAGGAGGGGGGAGTTCTTTTTTCGTGGAGCCCCTCCCCCCTCAGAGGTCAGCCATAAGACCCCCTAAGAGCATCTCTAGCAGATCCCTTAAACTAATCAAACCCATAAAAAATAGAGGTGTTTACAGTTTCGGTCCGAAAAAACTCGTTCGGCCCTTAAACTTTTTAAAGGGCATTGAAAATTCATCCGCGAGAACCTTGTATGTACAGTTTCGAAGGCAGTATACGTAAACCAGTCAAACCTCGTCGGATGTATATTGCCTTACGTCGAACGAGTATATGTACGCCGCTGCTGAACTGGCCGGAATCTACCCGGAACTCACCGGTATCCGTCGCCGCACGTCGGAAGAAGCCGCCGCACGTCAGAATTTGCCGCCGCTGGTCCGAATTGCGGCCGGCTCGACCTCCACTGTCGAGGCGAGGCTGTCCACGGGTAGGGCGGAGCAGGCCACCAGCGGCCCGAATCGGGGAGGGGCGGCACCGGAGAAGGGCGGCAGGAGGGTGGGCGGGTCGCACGTAGTGGCAGGGGCGCTGGGGAGCTCACGCAGCCACGCCGGGGAGCGCGCGCAGTGGTGGCCGGTGTCGGGCTCAATTGGGGACAGGAAGGCACGCCAGGGAACTCACGGTCGGGGCAGACGACGCGGGGGCAAGGCGGGCGGCGCTGGGGCGAGCAGAGGTGCCAGGGCGAGGCATGCTGTGGCCGGAGACGGGCTCTGCCGGGAGGGAGGAAGAAGGAAATAAAAGAAAAAATATGAGCTACAGTGGGATACAGTTTTATCTACGGGGTATGCTCTGTCCAGGGCAATTTCGCACCGTAAAAATAGTTTACAGTGCCCCTCATACGCGTTTTTAAGGGTTAATTTTTAAGGGGTCTCTTAGAGATGCTCTAAAGAGGCCTCAAGTAATGTTCTAATTTGTCTTGGCAGCTCAAAAATGTAAAGCATCTGAAGCCATGTAACCAAGAAACCTTATTTTGAAAATTGGTGGCCGTGATGGCACCCTCACACACCTCACACATCTCTTTCCCACCTTTAAAGAAAATCCCTATATGATCGATTATAAATTCTTGTCCGTAGAAAGGATATTTTGCTAGTAAGTTTGTTATGTCAGATCTAGAAAATCCTACAATGGCGCCCGACATTTTTTTTTTACTTCTGTGTCAAAATACTCTCAACCCACAGATATGGCCAGCTACATACAAAGCCAGTAAAGATGTCCCACCGTGTAAGGATAATGGTCCAGTGCACTAAATCTTGCGGCCACATATAGCAACATCTCAACAGGGAGTTCAATGCCTTGTCCTTTGACAACTTGCTATCTTTGATGGTAGTGGAACCAAAGATGCATAGCCTCCCATCACACCTGCTTCCTACAAACACATGCTCATGGCACAAACCATCACCACACACAAACCGACTTTTTCTCTGATCATTTCTTCTCAGAGTCACAACCCATCTTGGTAAAAAAATAAAACAAGCGACCACGATCAGCTCCAAGAAGCTAGCTCAACTTTCCAAGATGTGGCAGGCAGCTATCGGGTGAAGAAGGGCAACGATAGTGGGCAAGGAGATGCACCCATCCTGCAGTACAGTTGCAGACAAGGGCCACCGTGTTGTCTACTCTTCCGACGGCAGGCGGTATGAGATCCCCTTGGTGTGCCTCTGCACAAGAGTCTTCCAGGAACTCTTAAGGATGTCTCAGGGGGAGTGTGGGTTCACAAATGATGGGAGGATCACACTGCCTTGTGATACAGCGGTGATGGAGTATGTGATGTGTTTGCTTAGGAGAGAAGCTTCAAAGGATGTTGAGAGGGCACTCCTTAGTTTCATAGTGATAACTTGCCACCACCCAAGCAGAATGGTGCAATCACTCAGCGGACTTAACCAGTAATTTGCCATGTGTAGCTCCTGAATAGTGAAGACCCACAACTTTTTCACCTTCCATCTTTTTTTTGCCAACTATACACCTGGAGCACGGTTTTGTGCAATGTTTTTCCAAAGGTACTGTGGAT